CGAAATACCCACTGTCTTACGCAACTATAAATAAAAAAGAAAGGACATTGCGTAACTGCTCGAAGGAAGTGGTGTAAGGTCTAAAACTAGACCAGTAAATGGAACAAAGACATGATTCAGTGTTTCAAAATGAAATTCCACCCATGCCTATATATTATGAATTTTCTCAATCATTATCTTGCTAATATAGATTAAGAATCTTTTTTATAAAAAGGTTTTTATTTTGAACTTATAGGGTTCAGTCACATTGAATTTTGTTTATGAAATACTGGAAAACACCCGTTACATGTAATTTTCCTTGCAAACATGATGGATCGATTCGAATGTCGTCGTCTGGCGCGTTCTCTATTCAACTGAACACAGCATCGGCCAAGGATGAAAGGCAGGTAAATCCCGGCAAATGACAGGATCTGTCCCGCTAATGTCCTGGCTTTGTGTCACTCATCACCTTGACGTTCATTCTGTTCACCATGACCCGTCGCGAATCGCAAACTCGAAAACTTTATGCCTGTTAGCGGAGCCGGAAAATCAGGGAAAGTCGACGGACAGGTGTGTGCGTGTACCGTTCCTTCAAAATTTGACATGATGGGGGTAGAAATGGGATGGTGGTTCAGATGAAACGATGCAAAAATAATTTCTGCTTCTGAAGAAGGGTGACTGGGGGTTCTATTCATATTTTGTGAAACGAGGAATTTTTTGTAATTTAATGTTTAATTTTGCTTAAGATTGTTTATTTATATATAGATGAAAATATTTGATTAATGTTTAATTTGAGAAAAATATATTATTCTTTGGAGAATATTTTCAAGGGAAATGCTTAAAATCTAACAGACGAGTCTATTAGTAGAAAAGCACCCTGTCATGTCGCCCTTAAGGAACTTCCCGGATCGCTCATTATTCTTAACGATTTCCGGCAGAGCTTTCCACAATAGAGCTAGCTGCAACAGTTAGGATTTCCAAAGATTTTCCGAACAAAGCTGAAGAACAATGTCCGTCGAACATCAATTGGCAGCAGTTCTTGCGTCAAGAGCTCATCAACCTTTTTCCATCGGTCAGAGTGGAAAAAAAAAATGTCAGAAGAGGCTGTTTCGTTGAATTTCTCTATGAAATTGCTTCTTTCCTTCGCCTTAGTGTGCTGACTTCGCAATTCCATAATGAGTTGTCATTTTGTTAACATCAATAATATCAGACACGTTATTTTTCACCTTGTGTCACGTACATTCTTCAGTTATGTGAAATTTTTATTGTTTCGAATTTTTCAATTATATATATTAGTGGAACTAATTCTGAACACTTAAATTTTTACTTAAATTTTTATATTCTAATCATTGTTTTCTAATTTTAGGGCGTCGCTTATATAAAAAAATCAGTGAAAAGACTATTTACAATAAAAATTACAATTTCAACACATCAAAGGAGGTAGAAAAAAATTAATATTTCGCTGGATATCCTTTCATCCTGTGATTGTCTATTTCACACCATACGATGTTTTGTGTTGCTAAAAAAACATCATAACGAAAGAAGACATAATCCAAGAAAATTTCTCCACCCACCGTGTCCACAAACCCATAAGAAGCGAGAAAATTTCCTAAAAAAGCTGTGGAAAGAAAGAAAAACCGTGTCGACAGGAATTCAAGGAAACGCTGGAGAACCAGGTACGGGTCCATGGCGTAAACGAGCGACCATAAAACGGCAACATTCGTGTTCGAATTTTCTGTGAAATCCTTTTCACGCATCTCGGTTTCGCGAGCAGTGTGAACTAGGCGGGGGCGGAGAGGAGCAGGGCAACGGATGGCACCTCGTTCTGTTCCATAGATCACGACCAGGACTCCTTTTCTGCTCCTTCTTTCAGGAAACAGCACAATGCTTAGCTTCTCCGGTATTATACGGGGCCGCAGCTCCACAGCCGACAATGGATACGAAGTCGGCCATTGTGAGGGTGATTTCAGAACCCTGAGTCGGACCAGAGACTCTCCTTTTTTTCTACCAGGTTGCGAGATGTCTTCATTAACGCTGACCATCCAGAGACGTAAAGAAAGTTTATTTTTCGAGAGCTATGGCATTTTCAATGGAATTTGAAATTTACTATTCCTTTCAGTACTTTAATTTCATTTTATTAATGTGAATTTTAGAAACCATCATCCTTTGTGCTTGGAAATAAAATTTCCTACACATACCTTTTTCTCGTCATTTTACTAAGAACCAAAAATCTCACGAGAAAGCCGTTCACGCGTCTTCTAAAAATCCTCCTCTTGCCTGTTCGGTTCAGGTAGCCGAGCGTAATTTCCACGCTGCTCGAACGATTTGATCGCGTCTGGACGGTTTTATGACGACGATCGATCCCTCCGTAGAATAGAGGCTCCGGACACGATCGTTATAAATCGTCCACACAGGCTGATCACGCCTGGTTTACAAACAATGCGACCAACACTCTGCGTGTCCACAATGGACAAAGTCGTCCGGACGATACACGCCGGTTCGATCGCAATAATTCTGGCGTATCAACGTGATAGGTGGTAACTGGTAACTGGTACCAGGTGATTTGTAGCTGGTAGCCTGCGGTGCCTGGCTAATCCCCACAAAGGGGAACCGACCTTTGAAATTTCTGGACAATTTATTTCGTGGCATGCGCGTCCCGTGTAACGCCATTGTGACCAGAAATCGGAAACGATGCCGATGCTGTCCAGGTCTACCTTTCCTTTTTTTTCGAGACCACTGAAGACCCTCTTTCTTGGACACCTGAATGATAGTGGACCGATTTTTGATATAGGTAAAAGTAGCGGTGATTATGACATTTTGAAAGGGAATTTTTTAATCAGAAATTATTTTGAAATTTTCGGGGTATAGTGTAATTGAAGAGGGGTTGTTTTGATTTAAAAAGAATTCTTCCTCGATCAAAATTCACCCTCTTTTAAGGAAAGCACAAATTGAAATTCCAAAAAGCTAGAAAACAAATTTTCTTCAGAATTCTTGATAGAAGAAGGATATCTCTGGAGGACAGTTAAAGGGATCCCTCCAGGACCTTTACTCGTATTTTCCTTCGACGAAATCTTATCTGACAATCGGGTCGGAGGGAGGTCGAGGAAAGAAAAGGGGCAGCGAGAAATCGGTGGGGGTCCATGGCCAGAAACACGAGGACGCAAGGGTTCCAATTTCTCCGGGCGTGCGCAACGTGTCGCAAAAACGCGTCGAGCCTACCGATTCCGGGAAAAAAGGTTCGCTTTGACTTCCTTCTGTCGCGCCGGTTCCCCACGTCCACCACCGTTTCCGCTTCACTTTTACCGCTCGACATTCCAATGGTAACAATTGCGAATTTTTTCCCAAATTTCCAAAGGTAAAAATTATATTTCTTTTTATAAGATGCTCGTTAATTTCGAACGATTGCTAACAGTACTATGATGTCATGTGAATTTTAACAATTATTTTGTATAGTCAAATTGTCTAGAATAATTGTGATTTTTTTTTTTTTTAATAAAAGGAAAGGGACGTGTGCCAGGCTGGGTCTCTTGATTCGTCTTGGTACAAGCAATGTCCTGCACGGTAAAACGCGAGCTGAAGCACAAAACAAACCGAACCTTTGAGGAGGCATTCGACTCGTGTGACACGGATCGACGTCCACATGAGATTCGAGGTCTCTTTTACACGCGACGAAAGGGCCGATTCGTCGAACGGCCCTCGGACGAGCGGCAACTACCGCAAATGACTTTATTTATACCGTCGTCCCTTATTAGGACTGGCCGAGTCGTGGCCGTGTAAGGTTGTCGAGAAGGTAATTTCGCGTGTATCGGGCCTCTTTTGTCGGGCCACGTTCTTTTTGCCCGTCCCGTCTACGTTGAAATTACCAGCGACGAAGCGTGCAAGTTTTTCGTTGCGAGGGAACGTTACTCGAACGCTTCGAGGCCCGACCGATCCTCGTCCTCGTCGTCGAATTCGTTGGAAAACCGGGTTAGCTACAGTTTCTTCTACGCGTTCCACGAGCACTTGGGGCGTAGCTGGCCCTCTCGCGAGCTGTACACGCTTCGCTCGTGGAATCGAAACGACGCGACCGCGACGTTCAATCTTCCTTTTGTCGAGAAAACGGCTATTGACGATTGTCGACGGTTCCGGTGCCATTGACGTTCAGTATCCATAGGATTTTTGTTTCTGCGAGGGAACCAGGTAATTAGTCTTCTAGTGCAGTTCAAATTTAATATTTTTCATCAGTTTTGGCGGTGTATCTATCGAGCCCATCTAGTTCCTATTAGTACTTCCTTTGCTATCATCCTGAAGTTTATGATTTTTTATTAATACGCCTTTTGAGAACGGTACCACCGGCGTCACCTGACGATGAGTATCATATATGATGAACTGGAAAATTGATTTTTTTCATAAAATCTACTTTTATCTTGGAATAAGAGACTGTGCTGGCTTTTACTTGAGACGCGTGCAAAGGCGTCTGGAGCCCCCACTCCCGACGCCAGGGGCCCGCTTTTGGTGGTGAAGCCGTCATAGTGTTCAGAGAAGGGCTGTATCAACCTCTCTTTGCTGCTCCTCTTGTTGCTGTAATATGGCAAGGCTGTGCTCGAGACACTGACTGACAATGAGTAATGGGGTACAGTTTTTGATAACGAAGCAATCTGTTATTACCATCAAAGTGAGTTAGACTGTTGCAGTACGAAGTATTTCTGATTTTTATACTAGGATAAAGAAGATGGCGTTCGTTCTCAAGGCACAAATTCACGACCCTTTGGGAACAAAGGCATGTCCAGTCTTCTACTATCTGTACTCGCCGCTGAAGGCAGTACCCTCGTCGCCATCTAGTGGTGATCTATAAACTTAATAAAGTTATAAAATTTAATAAACATTTATATAAATAATAATTTTTAAATTTATCAAAATCAACGCGCGTCACTTTGATAAAGTTCCCGCAAAAATTTTCTATAAATTAAAATAAAAAATTGAAATATTGAATTAGATGCACACTCATTCTGACATGATATAATTAGCTAGGAAACCATTTGTATTATTTAGTTTTATTAAAATTACGTTGCAGTATACAGACACTAAGTATACAAAATTACAATAACATTAAGTAGAAGAGGTTTCTCGTGGAGACGGTATGTACAACAGAATATATTCATATGTATATCATTGTAAATCTATGTATATGTATAAAATTAATATCTAGGCGTACATGTTGTATGCTGTATGTATAAAGAACAATTGATTTTCGACGAGTTAGTTAGTTCGCGATAAAAGGTACGAGCATAATCGCCTTCGTTTAACAAGACAATACCGAAATGGTTCTTTTGGTTAAACGCGATTTTACAGAGAAGAGGGGAGAAAAATAATTATCAGAAAGAAATAACATCGTTAATAATACACACCTATCCTCCGTATTACATTCGCATACGCTACTTACCTATTGAGCTAAATAAAAAAAGGGGGATGGGGGGGGGAAGGGGGATGAAAAATGTAAAACACGTACTGCTGGCTCTTCCTCGAGTCTTATTCAGCGACGTTGCCGCGGCTTCGTCTCGATAAAAAATATAATTGGCGAACATTCGAAATTCAATTAACCATGGCAATTTAATTGTCAATCAAGAAGATTGATCGAGGCTAATTGACGAGGAAATGTTCGATGCGACGTCGAGAAATGATGAATCGAACCAGATTCTCAAATACAATATTTAATTAAAGAATTATTGATTATATATAAACTCGATTTCTTTGTAATATAAAAATTCAGTTAGAATTTCAACACTATTTCCATCGAGCTAGAAGAATTTGTAATTTGATTGATCGAATAGATGGTTCCGATTGATCAGATCGTTCGATCGCATTGAATTTACCACGCTGCGACGAAGCCGGGCAACATGACGAGACCCGCCAAAGAATAGACTAAACAAACAAACAATAACAACAATAATAATAAATGTCTGCTCTCGTGAGCGATCGCGAGCGGTTCTCGAATCCGCGGCGATCGGCGCCGTTCACGACTTATGACACTGCCTTCAGTTTACGCGTCGATTCGCGTGTAGCCTTTGCGGAGGATCACGAAACTCTTGCAGGAAATTTCATTATTTCACGATAATTTTATATATTATTCAAAGGAACAGCATCGAAACGAAGCTGAAAGTGTTAAAACACAAATGAAACGTTCCTCCAAATTTCTTTGCAACAATCAAATTTCTAAGCAACGTTTCGTATACTCCGCTATCCATTATGGAAGAAGAAAATAGAAGAAAATAAAAACGTGAAAACGACAGTCGGAAAGCTTACACAGCTTTCCCTTTCATTGGTTATATTTTGGCACGGGAATAAGTAACCAGCGCGTCTCTTTGAATCTGAGCTTCTTTGCGTTCGATTAAAAAAAGAGATTTCCGTCGACGGCAAAGAGAGCGCCTGTCGCGATTGAAACGTATACGTTATAAATAAATAGAGCAAAGCGTTGCTCGTAATTTCAATTTCAATTTTTAACATTCAAAATTTCTTTTTCCATTTTGAACGTTTTATGATCGAGAAAAAAGTTTTCTTCCTTCGAGACGCTTTCCTATCAATAAATATCTTTTTTAATTTAATAAGAATAGACGATTAAAGCTTCATGATTTCGTCTCGACAATTGCAATCGTTTCGAGAAAGAAAGACTCGTTTCCTCTTTTATTTTGAGCATGTGGAGGCTACCGTCCAGCGGTTCCGTCCACGATTCTCCGTCGACTGGATCCTTTTTCTTTTTTTCTTTTTATAATAATCGTACGATCTTCGATGCCTAGAGAGAGTCAAAGTTTGATTCCCGATCGCTGATCTGGAATAATTAAAAGAAGAAAATTAAATAGCGAAGTAAAATCTAGAAATACACTTGAAAGAGAAAATACAAAGAACGACGGAAGAAGGTCGAGTTTCATTGATAACTTACCCTGTCCGGGCTATAAAGAGGCGGATGTTGAGCCGGAAGTCGAAGCGTGCTTCCCAGATCCCTCTCGGCCATTGTGTGCCCTTCACTAGCGCTGTCCCTGATGTCTCTGTTGTCTCTCGAGTCCTTGACGCTGTTCCTTCGAGCGTCAGCGACCTTAGTAGGAGGTTGGATGGTCGTTTCCCCACAGGATCTAGCCAAAGTGGAGCCAGCTTCGCCTAAATCGAGCCTCAACAACTTGGTAGGTGCTTGAATGGTCGTCTCCCCACAGGAACGAGCCAGCGTCGAGCAAAGATCACCCTGAAGATCACCGGTTCGTAGAACCTTCGTTGCTGTTTCCACTGTGGTCTCCCCGCAGGACCTGGCCAACGTCGAATCGGCGTCCATTGTTCGTGTCACTGTCGCTGACACCTGATTAATAAAAGACAGCCGTTTTAATTTCAGAGTAATTACCTTTATAATTACAGAATTATAATGAAACTTTGTTACAAAAATTACCTGGAAACCCGCACTAACGAGAGCTCCACTGGGTGCAGCTGGTGCCCTGACCACCTGCACCTCAGTTTCCTTGCAATCTTTCGTACTGCATACGCTTTGCTTCCGATTTCCGGTGTTATGCGTACCGCTATCGAGATAATTAAGCAGTTTGTGCTCCTCGGTCGAGAAGGTGCTCATCCCGGATTTATAGTTTTGCGGTGATTGAGGCGCCGATCGATACTTGGCACGCGGAATCATCACTGTTAACGAACGGTCTCTTTGCTCGTCGCTCACTGGAACTGCTGATCGTGATAATTTTTAAAGAATTATTGTAAAAATTAATATAGATTAGATGTAAGGTAAAATAGGAAACGAACCTGTGGCAGGAACCATGGTAGCTTTCCTCGGCGGATGTCTCGGTTTACCACTGATCTTGCGAGCTGGCCTTTTAGAGGGCGGCAACGGTGCTATCATCTGCGGTGGTGGGGGTAGAACATGGGGCACATGGTGAGGGATCGCCAGATCGGTCACACTACCCTCGCTGCTGGTATCTCCCCCAGTTCCAGGAATCATCGCCCTTCTGTCGCCTGTTCTTCGTCTTCGATTCGGCTGACGGAAACAGGCCATACTCACGCACACCGCTAGAAGACCCAGCAGTATCGCCCCGGTCGTAACCAGAGCTATCAGTAACACTGCAAATAGATTTATGGAACCATGAATTCTATCACCCGGAATATAAATACGTGTTTTATCATTTCTATGGAAAATAAAATTTACCCTTCAGGTTAACCTGGCAACGTTGACCACTGTGCCACGGGAAACACTCGCATACTTCCTGACCGTTTGTGTTCGTGACACAATGTCCCTTGTTGTTGCAGCTAGGACATCCCAGGGGAGCCTGAGAACAGACTCGACCAGGATACGTAGGATTCTCGGACAGATCTGCCCATCCCTCCTTGCACGAACACTGATACGATCCACGTAAATTGAAGCAAGCTGCGTTTTGCGAGCAATCGTGATGGGGACCACCTTCCTCTGTCGTGCATTCGTCGAAATCAGTTGCATCAATCTGAAATAAAATGAAATGAAAATTAAAGAATATTCAAATTATACCGAAGAAGTAATATTATTACTTACCACGTCAAGGTTTTTCGAGGCATACACTTCAGTCCCACCTAAGCTATAGTTACTATTGATCAAATATTTCCGAAGGACCTCTTTCAACCTAGTTTCATTAGCATTATCGCTTAATTGAACGTGGAATTCAACTTTCGTTGGATCTGGTGTAAAGCCAGCTATTTCGAGGCCTCTGTAGATATCTCTTAGATCACTCTGCATCAAAGTTCGATCCAGAGCATCTTTGATTGGTCCTAATAGTCTTCTATAAGGTGTGGACGATGAGTCGTTCAAGCTCGCTTCGTAGCTCACTGGTTCATGTCCGATTCGATCCAGGCCAACTCTCAATGTGTAAGTGTAAGTAGCTGTAATTAGACAAAATATGAATAAAAAATTATTGTATATTGTACTGTGTCGTCGATGGGTTAGCAACTTACGTTTGCAAGGACGATCAGGGAACATCCTCGCGAAACCTGGCCGACAAATGCATCTCAACTCGTTTCCAACTTCCGCACACATTTCCGCCCTGGAGGCTTTGCACTCGGGTGCACATTGATTGGAGATAGGTTGAAGGGACACCACAGGTGCTCCTAGAACTCCACCAGCCAGAACTCTGTGCACCTCGTTTCCAACAGGATCTTGCTCGTCTCTTGATACATCATCTCCATATTCAGCTTCCACCTATAAGAAAATTTTGCATGAAACTATTGCATTATTTAATATAAAAGGGCTGTTTGTTAGATTTACCTCTTCAGCTCCAGGTGCCGGTGGCTTCTGATCACTCAGCACCACGAAGATCGAATCGTTATCCACCACATTCTCGTACGACGAAGGTATCCTAGTAACCACCGATTGTAGAATAGTAGAAGTAACTGTAGAAATCACACTTGTCGGACGTAACAGTGTTTCCGTTACAGTTTCCACTGTGGTAGATGTCATAGTATGGGTGAGAAGCAGGGTTCGTATAGTTGGCGGAGAACCCAGGACCGAAGTTTCCGTTCTCGTTACGGTAGACGTCTGGAATCGAGTGACCTATATGTGACAAATCGCGGCATTCAGAAACAGGATTGAAAATTGAAATAGAAAGGATGATCCTGTATTAAACGTCAAACAGGTAATGGAACTGCAGGTGGCTGGTCGAGTATGTGGTTAGACAAGTAGCGTTAGTTCGAGGTGGTCAAACAGGTGTAATGAAATTATAGGGTAAATAGACAGATAGTATCTAAGGCAAACATTGTATCAAAAATGGTACCTCTTTCGGTTTCGTGCGCATAGTCGCAGTTCCATTAACAGCCTTACGCACAGTACTACTGCTTGTACTCTTCGACATCTTGATTATCGATCCATTCGTTCTATCATTTTTCAATAAAGTGCTCGTTGCTTTCACGATTGAACTGTCAGTCCTAGTCACCACGCTAGACGAATCCTTCACACTTGTCTCATTCGTTCGTTTGCTTTCTGTTGTATGGGACACAACCAGTTTGGTGCTTTCATTTTTAGTCACAGTAGGACGTGGCTCTTTCTTCTGGCTCGTGATCACCTGAGTCAATGTTTCCGTGGCTTCCACCCTGGTCGATGGTAAAATATTATCGTAACTAGACTCCAGGAAGACTGGATGCTCTGGACGTTTCACAGGATTCCTGGGAATCTCAAAGTTATGCGATCTAGTTGGTTCAACGTCTCGACTCGTGGACGAGGATCTACTCGGTTGGATATGGTTCACTTGCAATGGTCTCAGTTTCGTTGGAATTACCATATTTGTGGTAAGTATCGCGGTTGGTTGTACCGATATTCTGTAAGATTGAATTAGATAACATATCAGCAATATATTGAATTATTAAATAAAAAGAGATTCAGTACCTGGACACCGGTCTCGTGTCGAAAGGCCTCACGGTGTAGATGCTAACGTGCTCCGTCATCCTTGTCTCAACCGGTCTGAGAATCTCAGGCACGTCCACGACAACTGGAAGATCGACAGTGCCATGTATGATCGGTATCTTCGATTCCATATCCTGGACCACCGGGATGTGAGACGTGGCTACTGCTGTTGCGATCTGGATCGATCCAGACACTGCCACTGCCGGTCTTACAGTGGCAATCTCGAGGGGTCTGGTGGTCTGTGTCACTGGAGGGGGTGGTACCATGTCCTGTCATAAAATTACGGATATATTGGAACAGAAATATTTATAAAAGAATGAAAATGAAAAATGAAAAATGATGAAATTCACCTGAGAAAGTAGTTCCACGATGAAAGGCCTGGTGACAGAAGGCCTAGGGCTAGGTGGTACCATGCTGACACTAGGCAGAGGTGCCACAGTGGCGTCCTTCAAAGGGATATACTTAGGGGGAGGTTTTAATCCAGACTCGTTTGCAACCCCAAATGAAAATCTATCCTCTATAGGTCTATTAGTAGTAGTGATATCAACAGGAGGTGGTGACAGACCAACGACATCTCTCGAAGGTATAGGTGGTGGCTTCAAATCCTCTTCTTCATTGTTATTCACCTGATTGGAAGTTACAACAGGCCTCAAAGGTGGTGGCATCATGTCTCTGGAAGGCACACTCATTCCCTCCATGCTACTCAACATGTCTCCAGTAGATGTTTCAATAGGACGAATCCTAACATTGTTCGAATCAGCCTTATTTGCGTCTGACAATGCAAAGTTCGTCTGATAAGACGTCTCTAGAGTTTCATCATTCTTGTTCTTATCAATGGAATCATTCTTCGTGATCAGCATGCTGGGAGGTCGTTCAGTTTGAGTCTTACTGTCAACTTCTTCACCTATCGCTTCCACTGGCATGGAGATTCTTATATTTGGTCTAGTATCAGGTTTGCCATGATCACTGGAGATGGTTATTGGCCCAGGTACCTGAGCTTTGGGTTTGGTAATGATGTGAGGATACTCTGGATGGATCCTGGTCCCTGGATCATATTCTTGTTGATGGGATGACACTGGAGGACGATGATTTTCTGAATTCATCTCCATGTCTGACTGAGGGTATTGTTCTTCAGATTGATGAGTCTTCGTGATTTCTGTCCTATTATCCTGAGTCTGTGACACCTTCGCACCATTGTTCCACTTTAAATCAACAAAACCAGTTAATTGCAGGTGACTCTGATTCACTTTGTTTCCCTGAGAAACACTGTCATTGGTGAAAGACTCCAGAGTTCCTGGTTTATCCCCATTAGACTGTTTCGTCTGATCTGGTCTAGCTTCAGATGTCTGAGTTGAAACTTCCGGTCTGGAGTAGAAAGGAGGCCTAGTTTCCGCTTTGTTTGCTACAGATGGTCTGGGATAAGGTCTGCCAGGTTTATCAGAGTCGGGCATGAATTGAGGGATGATGGCTGGAGGCTTCAGGTCTATGGTGTCATCTCGTTCATGAGGCTGTGGAGTGGATGTGTGTCCACCTTGCGTTTTGTGATCCACCGATGGTTTCTGGGTACCGTAGTAAGTGGAAGGTACACCTTCAACTATCTCGTAGTCAGGTTTGCCCTCTTTCCATTTGTAACCATAGGACATTGCATCCTCGTGTCCACTGTAAACGCCAAATGGTTTTCCTTGGACTATTGGCATCTCGTGGAGTTTGGTATTGTAGTAAGTTGGCCCATATGGTACTTGAGTCGATGTGGGCACATTTTTCTGGGTGAATGGCGCTCCTTGATTCAACCAAGCAGGTTTCTTATTTTCATGCTGCTGATGATTATGTTCCACTGGTTTTGGAATTGTATAAGAATTATTATTTTGATTGATCATTGTATCTTGATATTTCACGTGTTCTTCTGAAGCATCAGTTTCGGAATCCAAAGTCTTCTCGGTCTGTGTACCACTCTGCCAGGTGTCTGGTTTTCCTTGATGGTCCGATGGACTCTGATCGAAATTCGGAATTTCGGTATTCATCGCTGGCTTGGTAGTTTCAGGTTTTATCTTGGGTTTGGAAGGATTGTGGTATTCTATCGCTCCTGTGGGAAGATGCTCTTCTGTTCTTTCAGCTTGAGGTCTCAGCTGAACAACATTCGTTGGACGTTTGTTTTCATGGTAGAAGTGGGGTGGCCTATCTTGAAGATCGATATGCTGGAGAAAAGAAAATTTGTAAAATATTAGTGATTATTTATAAACATAGTGAAAGTTGATGTGGACTCTTTTTTACCTGAGGACGAGGTCCAAAAGAAGGCCTCTCAGTGACCACCTCCTTCAATCCATCACCAGGCTTAGTCGTAGTTATTCTAGGTGGTTCATGATGAATCTGAGGATTCGGCGGTGGTCGATGAGACAGTACAAAGGTATTTGAATTCTGATTCTTCGTAGGGGGTCTCTGAGGGACATTGTAAACAGGTTTCCTCACATTCGGCCGTTCAATATAGATCGGCCTGTCCAAAGGACGACTAGTCGTCGATCTTAATGGAGGTCGTGGCCTGATCCTATTATTCATCATAATTCTTGGTGGTTTCTTATCCGATTTCCAGTTAGTATTCAAAAGTATCTCGTTTCCAGAGTCTGGTTTCGCCAAAAGAATATATCTATGAGAATTGTCTGATGGGTTGGTGGACATTTCTGTCCTCCTTGGAGGAGTATTAGGGTCTGCAGGCTTTGGGAGTTTGGGATATTGACTTCGTGGTGGTAAATGATTGTTAGAATGCACGTGAGGAGGATGTGGAACACCTTGCGGACGAATGTTCACCGATTCTGGCCTATGATGGACCAGGATCTCCGTGTGCACGTGTCCTTGTCCACCTAGTGTACTCGAACCATCAGGATGTTTGATCACGTGGGCGTCGGATGGCTTTTTCTCGGGTCTTCCCACGGGAGCTTCGAGTTTATCCTGTAGTCTGTTGTATTCAAAACGACCCGGTGACAATGGGATCACTGGTCGCGAAGGATGTTTCTCAGGATTCTTGAAATTTAGAGGTGGAGATGGTGGCACCATGTAGTCAGCTGGGTCCTTTCCATTGGAATACTGTGGCAGATTCTCCACCTAAATAATAACGAACAATTTTTATTATTATCACGTTAAATTATTCAAATTTCAATAATTTAATTACCCCCTGAATTCCAACGAATCCTAATCCAACTTCTGATTCAGGATACGGAGATGGATCATCAAAGTATTGTCCACTTATGTGTGGTTCACTCGTGTCACCAAATATCAAAGCCTGAGTCCCACCCTGAGGAATCACTACATTGGCCACCTGACTTGGTTGAATGTTCACCAACAAAGGTTGCCCCGTCGATCTATCAATAACATGTGGCACTTGATGAACTATGGGTTCTGCAGAAATGGGTTTTGATTCTGAACTTTGAAGAACAGTAGAAGTATTAGGGATAACGGGATCTCTCTGGGCCCATGGTGGTCGTTTCTGTTCCTCGGATACTATCGTGGACCATGGTTTCTCCATTGGTGGCTTCACCAAGTCGATCTTCTGTAATATTTACAATAATTTTAAAATAAATTAAATAAATAAACCAACTTTCCTTAAAATTCAAAAAACACATACCTGATCGAAGTGTGGATGCGGAGGAGCAAGTTTCAAAGGATCCTTAGCGCTCCATGGTCTCCTCGATTTGTCAGGACTCCATTCCGGCTCGTTCAATTTCAAATTCGGATTTGCATACTGCTCAACATTAGGTCTATCCAGAGGTTTCAACAGAGGATCATTCTCCAGAACATCTTGCTTGGAACCCATCCTCTTTGGTGGTAAGGATTGAATAGAATGTAATTTCTGAGGTTGTTTGGGTATCAAACTTGGATTCGTGTCGATGGGCATGGACACTGGTATCTTCAAGTGTTCTTCGTATACTTGATGAGCAGGGTATATCTGTATCTGTGGTCCTTTGTGACCCTGAAGAGTTTGTTGCGGCTGAGAGTCGTCTCGATCGTTCTCCAGGATTTCCAGAACAGGATGCACGGGTATATTGGGAACTGGTAATGGCGGTGGCTTCATACCGATGTGCTCTTCGTCTTCTAAGAATGTCTGAGGTGGTCTCGGTGCCATTTTTCCTGGTTTACCGATTATCACGTCGCTGTTCGCGGTGATCACTTCGCCCGGGGAGATTGGAATGCCGTCTGCTAAACTGGACGCCACTTTGTGACGCGTTTCTATGTAGTTGTGATTTAAGTTCGCCAGGTGGGCACCTTGAAGAAAATACAGGTACTGTTAATTGATGGAACACTCGGGATAGTAATAAGAAACGCTAAAAAAGCTCAGTTTTCTTACCGATGTTTTGGCTTTCAGCTGCTTCTATATCTTCTTCGACGAACTCACCCACAGGAATGTAAATCGGTGACCTCTGCGTGGTTACTTCCTGAACTTCCGCTTGCGGTATCGTGTCGTTTCTTCGACTGGCCGTCGTTTTTCCTTGAAGCAAACCCGCCATAGCTGTGATGACTGGTCCCAGAGCGGACAAACTATTTATTCCTAAAGATCCTAGACTGAGAAGATTGCTCACTTGAAGATCACTAGTGTTCTGACTAGCAGGCTTTTTATTTTGAACAGTCTCCCCGGAAGTTGTCAGATTTTGTTCCTGAAAATAATTCCATCGACTATAATTTCAAAATTTACCTCAGTTCTAAAACCTTAGAAGTCTCGATATTCAATTGAAATTTAATTTAATTAGACGTGCTATTAAATATTGTATAAATTACTTGACTGTTCTGCTCGGAAGGCTTCAAATTCTGTTCACCGACAACCGAAGAAGCTTCCGTGGACACCAAGCTAGCAGAAATCGCTTCATCATTCGGAGGTTCCATCAAAGAGGTCGCTTCCTGGAAACTACTAGTAGTAGTAGGATCGATCTGATCCTCCTCGTCGAAGAATATGATCGTCGATCCTGTAACGACGTTCTTCACTGGATCAGAGTGATGTGCAGTGGTCAATAGAGCATTCATGTATCCAGCATCCAGTAAACTCGGTGCTATCGATTCCGTGACCACGTTTTCTACTATATGAGATCTTGAAGAGATCGTTGTTGAGGTCTCCCCATCTGGTCCAGCCTGCAAATGAATTTAGTCATTGCAATTTTTAACCATGAGCCCAGAGAAAGAAACTCTCAAAGTCTCTTCAGGAAAATTACCTGAAGCAACGTGGTGAAGTAAGTGAATGTCGTCAAATACGTCTTCGTGGCGAAGATCTGTATAGGTTCCGGGGTAGGATTCACCAAGGCTGTCTTCGTGGTCGTCTTCTTGACAGGCACTTTCTCCAGCACAACATCGGTCGAGGTCGCGACGTTCGTTCGAACTATCGTACTACCTTTCTCCAAGAAGGTATTATAATAGGTATAAGTGATGTAGTACGTCTTCATCAGATCGGTCATGCTTTCCTCCGTACTATCCAAAGCTGTCAAAGTGGTTGTTACACTGGTTGGACGAGGAGGTGGTGCAGATTCTGTGATTATCAGCTGAAGAAAAAGACATAATCATTTAAAACAATCGAATATTTAATAATCAAAAATATTCTCTATTAACCTGAGTGACAGTATCGCTGGTAGTTTCGATTCTGGTTCGCCCATCCTCCATGAAGGTCTTCTCCAGCATCCTGGTGCTGAGATATGTGTTCGTTTCCGGTCGTGGCGCTTCCGATGGTTCAAGGATCATGTGCAGATAATGTTGTGGAGCGGTAACAGTGTTTGTTATAACTTTCGTGCTGCTCTCTAAAGCATCATTTATGTTCGAATGATCAGTGTTTAGAGTTAAGTAGGTGTAGGTCGTTTTGAAGACTTCTGTCCGTAGAGTTGGCGACGCATCTAGGGTAACTGCTGCTGTCTCTGAGCCTGGTTTTCGGTGACGTTCCTCCGTCGCTGTGTTGGCTATCACCTTGAATTATTTCAGATTTGAAATGGAGGCCGAAATAAAAAAAAATATCAGTAGTAAAATATTAAGGTTTTACCTGTTGTTCCGTGGATATGGTAGTGGTACCGTCCTTGGTAATTGTAGTTAAGTAAGTGAAGGTGGTGGTACACGTCTTGGTAACAAATTCATTGGGCTTATCTTGAGGAAGCATCATGACAACCGTGTCGGACAATGTCAGCGTAGGTTGAGGCACAGAATTCTCCCATCGTAACGCCGGTGTCGGACCGGCGACGATCACCTCAACTCCGTTCGACATGACACGAGTTGCCAAGTTGAACCTTCGACCTTCTTCATCTTTCGCTTCGTATTCTCCTGTCGTGTTACAATTCCATAGTGAACCAATTACAAAAACAAATCACGTTTTCACCCGTCAACAATGTACACACGTTACATGAAAAGAAAAATAAGATATACCTGAAATCCTTGAATAATTTAGAAACTGTACAGTTCTTCGCTAAAGACACCTGAATATATTGTTATTCAAACGTCTATAAATATTTTCAATTAACATACGATAGAATAAAAATATACAGAACAGAAAATTTAGTATGTACAATAAATATTCTTCATTTACAAGTATGTACATTTCAAGTTCTATTGTACAAGGGAAAATTTCGATCGCCATAAGCCAATTGAAATGAGACTCCCAATTATGTACAGTCTCGAGGGGGAAAGAAGTCTTCATTAGTTTAAAGAATATTTTATACATCGATTACCGTGTGGCTCGAAAATATTGCTAATTGGTATTTCCAAGGTTTCATCTTAAATTCATTGTTCATCGTTTATTAGCCAATTTAATAATGAAAAATATTCGAGACACACGGCGATCGTTATAGAAAAGGCTCGGACAGCCGCGGTGGCTACTCACCAGCAACAGGAACTGGACTATACACAGACGACACGGGTTTCGTTGTCTCCACGGTAGGAGTGACAGTCACGGTGACGGGCACCGTCAACGTAAGGGTCGTCACTCTCGGTCTGACGGTCGTCGAGGAGGTCACTTTTGTCTCCAGTCCGTTCTGTTGCGTCACCACGTACGTGTACGTCCTTAATCGCGTCGACGTCACCACGGTCTCTGTATAATAAACGCTCGTGCTCGGTTCAAGGTCGGGCGTGGATTGCGTCTCGTGCACGTCGGTCACGGGTTTCGAGGGTAAAATCTCAGGAAAGTCCGGTCTCGAAAGGGACAGATAAAGGTCGTCAGCTAATCCAGCCTCGATGTCCTCGGGTGTTGGCGAGGAGATCGACGTGGCCACCTTCGACGAATCGAGGCTAGGAGTGACCTCGAGTACCACCGAGGTCTTCTTTGTTTCTGACCAGGTATAGTCGACCTCCAGGGGAATCACGCTCGGTATTTCGATGTCGTCGAACATGTTCGGGCTCGAGGAGTCGTGAGACGTTGATCGAGACGTCTCCAGAGGCAGGACACTCGCGAACGTGGAAAAAACTTCAGAGGAAGGTGGAGAAACGGGGGGTGATGTCGAAGAGGGTTCGATAGTTGGTTGTATTGGTTTCACCGTCTGGATCTCCTCTTTTTCTTCAGGTTTTATCGTTATTTCTGGAGTCTTTTCTAGATTTTTATCTACCGTATCTGGTTTCACGCTTGAGATTCCAGTGTGGGATTTTGTGTCCGTCTTAAGAGACTCTTCAGGGTATTTTGATGAAGAATCCTTGGTTTCTGTCTTTATTGTAATCTGAAGTTCGGTCTCCTTCAGGGATCGTCCGGAATCTTCTGACGATTGAATCACTGTAGATTGAGGTTCAATCTTCTTTATATGTTCTTCAAGGTCTTTCGATGAAGAACTTTCAGATTGAGTTTCAGTTACTGTAACTTGAGGTTCAATCGTCATTAGAGATTCTTCGGCATTTTTAGATTCAGTTTGAATTATTGTAACTTGAGGTTCAATCTCTCGAGAGTCTTCAATATCTTTAGATTCAGTTTGAGTTACTGTAATATTAGGCTCGATCTTCTTGCTGGAATCTTCATGTTCTTCGGATTCGGTTTCAGGTGTCGTAACGTGAGATTCGATTCCCTTTTCCAGAGAATCTTCAGTATCTTTCGTCGAAGAATCTTCAACTTCAGTTGAAATTGTTGTAACATGAGAGTCAATATCTTCTTCTTCTTCTTCTTCTTCTTTTTCTTCGTCATCTACAAATTCAATTTGAGTTTCATGATCATCTGATTCTGGGTATTCAGTATTACCATCAGTTTCTACTTTTCCAGTACTTGTAGTATCTTCTTCAGGTATTATAGTTGTCTCAAACTGTTCCTCAGGAACGTCTGCATCAGTTGTTTGCACCGATTCTGTCGTTGCGCGTTGATTTTCTTCATTTTCTTCTTCAGTTGCAGGATACTTAGTAGTCGAATGTTCTTCCGCAATCATCTCTTCATCTTTCTCCAGTGAAATTGAATCTACAGTCGATAATTCATCAGACTTCTCAGTCGTTGTTTCGATCATTTCTGTCGTCGTTTCTTCTTTCTCAGATACAACAGGAGCTTCTGTCGTGGTTGTGATTTCTTCTTTATCAAATGATACATCTTCAACCTCTGACTTGGTCGTTGTTGAAACATCATCTTTAACATTTTCAGTTGTCGTTTCCGGGTATTCATCATACGCTTCGTACTCATCCTCAGAAGGCGGGAAGAAGAAGTTAGTTGTAATGATTACGGGTGTATCTGTAGTTGTTTCTTCCAGTACTTTCAATGTACTTTCTTCAACCTTATCTTCAGTTTCTAGATCCTCAGGTTCGCTATCAATAACATTAGGGGGTTCCTTCAACTCAGGAGTGACTGTAGAAGTAACGTCTTCCTTATTCTCTTCTTCTTCTTCTTCTTCTTCCTCTGCCTCTTCAGCATATTCCTCATCGTACTCCGAGGAAGGAGTGAAGAACCCAGTGGTGATGATCGCGAAAGTGGGTGTCGGTTGGACGGGTCTGACGGCAATCAACTTCTTCCTGGTGATTCTAGCCTTCTTCTCGGTAGTCGTTGGTAAAACGCTAGTCGATTCGAGTTTTCTTCTTCTAGTAATCGTGACCTTGTGCCGTCCAATCTCTGGTCGGAAGTTCTCAGGCTCCAGATCACTCTGAATAGAGTTAGCCAGGCCGAGAGTCCTAACTCGGGTCACCACGATCCTTCTAGGTGTATGACTGGCGGTCATAAAGGAAGAAGAAGGCTCTTCAGTTCTAGGCGGCAGAGGTCTGCGTCTAACGACAGTCAACTTATGCTGTCTTCCGTTCTTTCTGACCACGGGCACGCGTATTCTGACTCGTTTTCTCGGCGTCTCTTCGAAGTAGTCGTCGCCAGTGAGTATCCTGGACGACCAACTACTATCGCGTGCGTTATCAGGGTTGCTTAGCTGGTAGTCGTGAGGATAGTCATCTGAAAAGACGACGTTCTCGCTTGTGTGTGTCATTGACAGATAATCCTCGTTGTATCGGAATTAAATCTACCGAACGGTGGGCGGGATGGTCGTTAAGCGTCCGGTAAGAGGGCGGGCGGGTAGGTGGGTTAAAGAACAATTTGCCATCCAGACATTCCATCATACGTGGTTTCGTGCACTTAGTAGCGGTTACTCATCGCGGCGGTGTGCATTTACTGCGACGTTGGTCCGGACAAAAAACAGAGAGGTACCATGCGTTGAGATTCTTTGTTGTTGTCGTGTGGGCGCGCGTGCGGCGACGGATTCGAGGCTCTATGTTAGTAGGTGGAGAAGTAGAGGACGGAGGAAAGAGAAACGTCGGCTGGGAGAATAGAGAGAAGATAATAAAGACTGGGATAGCGAACAGGACGTGTAATGGAGATCGAGAGACAAGACAACACGGGTCTCGATCAACCGAAGCTGCGAGCTTTCCACGGTTCCTCGTCCACGGAGACGGCGTTGCCCCCGACCAGGGCCATCCCCGAAGACTCTCGCTATATTACATGAACAGCGACGCGTTGGACGCTGCGAAACGCGGGAACAAACGGTCGAAGGGTCGACCGCGTGACTACCGACTTACGAGAACTACGGAAAGGTCGTCAGCTTCGATCTAGGTGGGCTTTCATGAGTTGTGATGGTCTTAATTAAGTGAGATAACAGTTAGAAGGAATGAGGAAATGATTCAATGGGAGGGGTCTGAGGGTTAGGTGCGGATGGACGTGGAAATGTGCCGTCCGACGTCACCCACTACGCTCTCGAGACTCTGTGTCGGCGCGTGCGCGTCCATCGAGTCCTCGCTACCCGCTAGGATAGTGATCTCTTCCGGTCCCGCGTGTAACGACGCTGGAATGGAAGGTCGGACCTCCACACGGGCATCCTGGCCAGTATCCCTTCTTCTCCTCGATGAACTAGCCGCATCGCTCACTTTCACGGTGCTCAGAACAGTACTGAACTCTCCAGGCCTGCGACCAGATACGTAAAGCGTCACCACGCTGGACTCTTCCTTCGGCGTACTCGAGTGATCATCTTTCTTTTCGTATTTGCCACGACTGTTACGCGGCTTGGACGATTTTGACGGTTTCGATGATTTCTGATACTCCTGTACATCGTCTTCCTCCTCAGAATACTCATAGCTGTCGTGCTTGTAGTCCGAATCAGCCGGCTGATGCCTCCTCTCTACCTCTCCCGGTAACGTGTTGCTTTGGGTGAAGGGAGGCGCGGCGAACACAGGATCCAGCAGAGGATTAGGGTTCTTTGGCGGCTGGGGTTGCTGAAGCAGCAGCAGCAACGAGTTCAGGTTAGCCGCTGGCAGGGCAGCCGTCGGGGTCACCACCACCGTGTCTGTGACGAACTCTGTCGCGGTGATCACGTCGGTCGAGGTGTCTACCAAGGTGGTCAGGATCTCTTTGCCGCGGAAAGTGAGCGGAATCACGGTGCTCTGTTGCTTGGTTATGGTTGTGACGTAGGAGGTGGTGCGCGTGTTGTACTGGGTGGACGGCGTGCCCTGCGGCTGCAGCAAAGGGTTAGCCTGACCTAACTGACCCAGAAGCAACTGCGACAACAGAATGTTCGCGAGAGGAGCATTCTCGGGTATGGAAGGCTGTATGGTGGACACTACGTTCTCTACGGAGTACACGGTCGTCGGTACGATTACGGACTGCGAGGCTCTACGACCACCTAGGGTGGTCAACGTGTGGGAGAGCCGAGTGGTGGGCGTCTCGTGCAATAAGAATCGAGTTACCTCGGTCTGACCTTGTATGTTAGTACCGGTAACTTCGCTAACGATCACTACCAGCGGTCTGCCGTCTCCACCTGTCACAGTGCTGTATTGAGAGGGAGCCAGCACCTCGGTGCTAGGCTGAGCGGTTATAATATTTCTATGTTCCGTGATTCCGTTATTTACAACGGGGATCGTCACCTCGGTGGGCACGTAATGGGTTACCGTGATCGTCCCGTCAAAGTCTGGGTAAATGGTGGGCGATTCCCTAATGTCCTCGCGGGAACCTCGCGGCCTCTGCGAAGAGGATCCTCTTTTGCTACCGTTCCTACTCGACGACCTTGAGGAAGCACGAGACGGGGGTACTCGTCTTGAACTCGACGATTCGGATGATTTGTTCGAATTATTTCGTAACCTTGGAGGTCTTACTCTGTCAGAATTACTTGAGGACCTAGTGTTTGATCTGGACGTTGAAGAGCTGGGTCGTTTATAGTTCGATCTACTCGCGGACGTTCCGTCCTTCTCTCTTAGAGTAAACTGTCTGCCATTGTTGGATGTTGGCGATGGTTTTATTCTGGATGAAGAGGTTCTCTCACCATTGGACTGCTTTCTGTTTCTAACCTTATTTTGACTCGATTCTGCGGACTCTGCTGAGGTTTTTTCAGGGCTGTTGGACTTGGAAGGGGGTCGAGAGGTTGTCAGAGATCTTCCTCGGTTATTATAACGCGCGATGGGTTTAGAAGTGACCTTCGTAGTCTCCTCTTTATTGGATGCACTCTCGACAACATCGATCCTGTCTTCAGCCTTTGAAATCGGCTGACCAGGTCGACGGAAACGATTGGTTAATGACCTCAACTGACTTGCCTGTCGGCGAGTTCTTCTTAATCTATTAAACGGTCTGATTTGCACCGCAGGTCTGATAGATTTGCCTGACCTTCGATTGACATTCGCAGAGGATGTCCTGTCTTCGTGTTCAGAACCCTCGTAATCATTATCCACTATCTCCTCCACAGGATCATCCTCGAAATTTTCCTCGCCCTCTGCATCTACCTCCTCGGGTTCAGCCTGTTCTTCGATAGGTAATTCGGGTTTCTTTCCAAATAACCCTCGAGGTGGAAACAAGCCAGTGTTGCTCTGTCTAGGTCTAGTTGAAACTGCTGCATTACCTCTTCCACGAGCATTAGTGACCTTAGAAACACTCGGTGTAGTAGTTCTACTTAAATTTCCATTTCTTCTTGTAGTCGTGGGTGGCCTTGGAGTAGTGCCACTTCTTCCAGAACTATTCAGATTAATCGGTCTACGGAATCTGAGCAGAGGATTCGTCGATCTCCTCGGTGACTCTGTAGTAGTCTGCAACGGTGTCGTCACAGTCTCTCCACCTTCCACATCGTCCGTGTAAAGAGTCTCCTCCGTCACCAAAGTCGTAGTGGTGAACTCGTTAGCATCATTCTCTTGATCATCGTGTTTGACAGTCGGTTGTCCTCGAAGTAGGGTCGAGGAGGCTCTAATTGGTGGCCTGTACCTGCTGGACGTGCCAGGATAAATAGAACTGGATGCACGAGTCGCAGCCCTAGCTGAAGAACCTCTGATGGAAGTTGGACCACGTCTGTTTCCTTGGAATACAGAAGATGGCGATATTCTAGACTGAGGTCTGCCTCTGGTGCTTCCAATAGAGGAGGCGTAAGAGCTTGCAGTACTTGGAGATCCTCTTCTTCCAGCAAACCTCCTGGAACCAGCTGGAGACAGCGTCGAAGAATAAGGACCTATCGGTGAACTGATTCGACCCCTGGACGAGGCGAATCTATTACCCTTTCCAGCTAAAGTTGCTGTTATTGTAGGTGTCGCATCCGTTCTGGTGATGGTAGTCGCACCTTGTGCGCCCTTTCTCTTCGGGTTGAAGGTCGGTCTGCTCCTGGAGACGAATGGCCTAATCGCTGGTGTGAAGGTTCTCTTCCTCGTCGAGAACGTCAGTCTGGACTTCTTCTTAGAACTCTGTCCATCTTCGTCCTCGTTCTCTTCTTCGCTATCTTCATTCTGCTCAGAGTCATTATCTTGATCAGGAGACTCGGTGGTTGGATCTTCTGATAAGGAAGACTGGATCACCGCAGGTGAGGGTGATATTTCAGGGACCTCTGTAGGTTTAGTAGGTGGCAATGTCGATGTTGGCGCGATACTGATGGTTGGAGTTGACAGAAAGCTAGAAGTACTTTCAATGATCTGGGCGTATCTACCATCGATACTGGTCCCAATTACTTTAGATTGATAGAATATGGTAGTTCCATTATTCTCAATTTGACCTTGTATCAGCCTCACCAGACCAGTTCGATGACCATGAACGGGCGCAATGGTTGCCTTTCTTTCTTCATCAATCTTAGTACTTGAAGTACTTTCAATGACCTTGGCATATAGACCATTTAACAGAGTACCAATCTGTTTGGTGGTGAAATAAATCGTGGTAACCTCATCAGCATCGACCACACTCCCTTTATTCATTGACAGAACTCCTGTTGGAAGAACTGGAGTGGCTATTGATGAAGATGGTAGCGGTGGTGTCTCTATTCTTGTTGAACTTTCTACGACTTGAGCATACAGACCATCGATATATGTCCCATGGACATCTGTCATGTAATGAGTAGTCGTTCCATCATTAACCTGACTGGATCGAACCGTAGAGATCAGTCCTATCTTTGGAACTTCGCTAGACTTTGATGGAGTGACTGGCTTCTCTACGGTTGCCAAACTCTGCTGGTAAACTGGTCCATCGATTGCCCTGCCAGTTGCCAATTGCGGGGTCGCAGCAACTTCGGGATTGGAAACACTAGTGACAGTCTCCAGTCTGCTATTCAAGATTGTCTCATTTCCAATGTACGAAGTTGTAAAGTAGGTGTAGGTAGTATAATATGTGACAGGTTCGGGTGAAATTGTCGAGGATTCTGAGACGCTCTGTTCAGAAGGAGTTGTACTAATATCTTTAGAAGTAATCCCAAGTTCCTCTGTTTTCACATTTTCAATAGGGATAACGATGGATGGTGTAACCTCATTGTCAGCAGTGATCTTGGATTCTTTGTCATCGGAAGAACCATCTTCGGTGAAGGATGTAGTTGGTCTGTAAGTCATAATGACACCTAGTTCGACGGTAGGAGTGGGTGCGACACCTGGGGTCACCACGTTGCTGACAGTTTCCTCTCGGCTGGTAGTGACAGTGTCGCCACCTTTGTAGAAGGTCGTCCAATAAGTGAACGTGGTGAAGTAAGTGACTGGCAAAGTACTCGTCTCCATGGGTACCACAGCAGTTGGTCTGATGGTCTCAGTCACGACGTTGGTGACAGTTTCCAGACGACTGACGACGTTTGATTCCTCACCCTTGTACATCGTCGTGAAATAAGTAAAGGTCGTGTAACTGGTTTGAAGAAGAAGAGTCGGAGCAGGTTCTACATCATGATGGTTCGATTCAGATAGTTCCTGATCTTCTGGAACAGCGTTTCTCTTATCCATCACATCCAACAGCGTACCACCACCAGAACTTGAAGAAGAGACTACATCAGTGATCATGGATCCTAACACTTCTCCTTCCATTGGAGGATTGGGTGTTACTTGAGCGTTTACTTCAAATCCACGAAACAGATCAATCTTCTCAGTAGTGGATTCCTGAGTGGTAGGGTATTCCACTGTTGTCTCTGCCTTCATCTCAGCTACTGTTGCAGCTTCTTCAAGAGTACTAGGCCCCTGCTGCTGCACCTTCTTTGCTAAAAGAAGAGCCTCTTCCTGAGACTTCTGCCTTTGAAGAGCTTCCAGATAGGCTAGGATCTCTGGAGGAACAGCTGGCTTGTCAACAGAGTCTGCCTTTGGTGTGGTTGGTTTCAGGGTTTCTTGAACGACTGGTACCACTGCAGTTGGCTGAATAGTTTCAGTGACAACATTGGTAAACACCTCGGTTCTCGTTTCAATCTCGGTCTCATCGTCAACAAAAATGGTGGTGAAGTAGGTATACGTGGTGTAATATGTCTTGATCTGTTCCTTGACTTCTTGCGTTGGCAAGGCTGGAGTTGGACTTGGTTCAATCTCAGGAACAGTTTGCTTAGTATCTTCAAAGTCTTTGTTGGCTGCTGCTTCCGTGGGAATATTATGATCGGTGGTGGTGTCCTGCTCCTGCAGGGTGGTCAGAGTTTCCTCAGTCGTCTGTTCCAAGGTGGTTGGGTACTTCTCAGTACCCTCTTCGCGTTGAGGAGTTGTCGAAGGTAAAACACTGTCCGAGATCTTTGTTGGCGCTATTAGACTGGACTCATCCTTTCCGAACAAGCCAGCAACCACGGCAGACACTCCATTGGGACCAACGGTCTGTGTGATCACATTCGTTTCAACAACTTCACGACTGGAGATGCTGGAGGAGCTCTCCTGGAAGAAGGTGGTCAAATACGTGTACGTCGTGTACAGAGTCTTGAATATCAGTTCTATTTCCTCATCCTGTTTAGTAGTTTGCTCTTCTTCAACCGCACTGATCAAACTAGGAGTTGTCGTTGTCTTTGGTGGTCCGGTAACTGCTGTTGGAAGGACAGAAGTCACAGTTGCACTAGGTAGAATCAATTCCGTTAAATAGCTGACCTCTGATGATACCACTTCTCTAGAACGTATGGAAGTCGTAGTCTGATCACCGTCAGGGATGAAGAACGTGGTGAAATAAGTGAACGTTTTGTACACTGTAGATGGAAGAAGCTTGGTAGCAAGGGTAATCTTCTCTTCGGGTTCATGGAACACATTATCCTTGCCACCCTTGTGTCCAATGATATTATTAGAGCTGCCTCCCTTGATGCTTCGACCCTGAGGATCCCCAGGGACTATGTCATTAGGAATCTCATCGTCCAAGGTTGGTGCTGCTGATTCAGTAGTACCTAGGACCCTTCTGGCACTCTCCAAGATGTCCTTCAGGGTTGTCAACACACTGTCAGTGGTGTCTCTGAGCGGAGTGGTTAATTCGTTCATTTCAGGAGGAGCTTCCTCGCTAGTGGTGATCACCCTGGGTGTAGTACCTGTCGTCATCTCAAGTGTAGTGTCCTGTTCACTTTCTGGCTCCTCTGTGCCAGTGGTTCCATAATCCAAGGTAGTATCTCCGGTACCATAACTAGCAGTTGCTTCATCAGGAAAGAAATATACATTTGATGACGTATGAATGATCTGTGCATAGTTTGTACCAATATAGGTGCCATAAATCAGACTCTTATAATGCGTAGTGATGCCATCCTTGGAAGTAGTTGAATCCAAGACTTTGAGGAGTCCGGTTGGTTTCAGAGAAGCAGTCTCCACATCTGGTATCAAGAGCAATGGTTCAGTGGACGTGGTAGTGGACTCAACTTCAAAGTCTTCCGTGACACTGGGCTGAATGTTGGCTCTGTTGATGGCGTCCAGAAGAGGATCACCCGTTTCGCTCTTCGGATCGGATTTACGTCCAGGATGATGCATAGTCTTCTCTTGGGTAGCTACGACGCTGGTGGGTCTGATTTGCACGACAGCGATCCCATCGTCTGGCCTCAAGGTCGCGTCTCCCTTGATGGTAGTCGCTGGGCGACCTGCAGGAGCCGGTGATGTACTTGGCGAGAAGACAATCACCGTTTCACCGACGGTAGTTGTAAAATCAGCGAAACCATGATAGGTTACCGTCGCCAGTGGTTTCATGTCCAGTTTCTTCTGCACTGCAGCTTTCGGCTGGGGCTTGAAGATCTTCGGCACTCTGGGCCTAAAGCTCTTCGGTTGATCCTCTTCAAAGTTATCGAAACTATTCCCCACGTACTCGTGCTTCACGGTGTAGGTCGGTAAATTATCCGCTGGTCTAACCTTCGCAGGTTTGAATCTTTGGGGATCCAAATTCGGCTCTCTTCTACTGAATATATCATTCTCTCTAGAAAGTTCATCCAATTTCGTCGCAGCCTTCTCGCTGTCTTCGGAACTCTTCTCGTCGCTCTCGCCATCCTTTGCATCTTCGATATCCTTCAACACCTTGATCGGAGCGTTATCCAAGGCTACTCTAAGCTGCCAATCGTCGCTGGGTGTCCTTGACGGATAAACTACGTAGGGAGTGGGTGAATCAGGTGTGGGATCCTTCTCGTAGAACACCCTACTCGAAGTGGACAGTATCCTAGCGTACAGACGACCATTGTCCAGGGTGGTACCCACTACTTGGGTAGCAAACTCTGTACTAGCGCCGTCCTGGACGAACGTTCTCGCGGTTTTCGTTAGCAGACCGAGCGGGGGAACAGATTTACCGGGTCGTGCCGAGACTAGGAGGACCGTGGTTACTCCTAGGATAATCATCGAGCATGGAATGATTCAGGATCGTTAAAATACACCGGAAACGAGGGGGACGATAGCCGCATGGGGGGAAGCACGAGCAGTCACAATTCGATTTAACGAATGTCCAGTCACAGTTAATTCGTGGTTAATTCGTCCGTGTCGTGTCGGTTCAGCCAATCGAGCGATCGGTTGATTCGAATACATGTATTTTTTATTTTTTTATTTATTCGCATTTAGTTTAGATAATGTAGGTCGTCGGAGAGACGGAGTGGCGGGCGGACGTTGGAGGCAGACGGCATCCAGTTGTTGAGAAGAGTTGAAGAGGCGAGGAGCAGGCGGGAGCAGTAACAGAAACAGAAAAAAAGAGACAGACGATCTTAGTAGACGAGTCATCCTGTTGGTAGCCTAGAGCACCTGCTATGTCCCCGTTACCCTGTCACGAGTATCGATTTCCGATCGTCGCGCGTTCACGAACGAATCGTTTCGTTCCAGAGAAACGACACGGTCCTGATCGCGAACGATCGAACACGTTAGCTTTATGTACGTATGTACATCTCGAGGGACCTGACAACTCTATTCGACCTTTCATTCTATTCGACAAAATAGGTGATCATAATTTTCTGCAGACACGAACGAACCGCGAAATGAATTTCACGCCTAAATAAGTGAAAGTGTATCATATTCATCACGGCTATCCGCATTTTTTTGACACGACTGACGTCTGTACTGTCGACTTCTTACAGCCTTCAGGATATCATTGAAAGTGAAATCTCTATATTTGTATTTTCAGAATTAATAGATACTTATATACTAATTCTAAATTAATAAATGTATATGACAAAAATTCGAAATTTTAATATTTCTGATATTAAAGTATCTCGATGATTTTAATAAGTGATCTCAACATTGTTGCTCATTTTGATTTATCAAGTCCCTCGAGGCAATAGTAAGTCAGGATTCCAGCCCATGTACCCAGAGAAAACGGAACGTAAAATTGTGCGGACAAGAGAGAAACGAAAATAGACACGCAACTACACAGAGAGAAACACATATTTCGTAACGATAGTATATACTTCAATTATTATATACACGGCCGCACCTCGCGTCAACACGCACATCACGATATTTTATTCTTTTTTATTTTTTCGTTTAAAGATCGAACGATTGGTGTTGCTGTGAAAAGAGAAAGGCCAAACAGCAGAGAAAGAAAGATAGAAAGCGAGAGAGAATTGTTGTTGTTGCCGGTAGAATTGCGCTTGAACGCGGTCTTCGTTGTGAATAATAGGCCAATAGAACACGAGCAACGAAATGTATTAATTTCAGGACGAGAGAATTGGAGTTCCATTCGAGTGCAATTCCGTTAGCAGGATACGAGTTGTGGATGCAGGCATGATTAAAGGACAAGAGACTTACCCTCTAGATCCCTTTCTATCCTAGGTGCTTTAATTTCTGTCAACGATCCATTATCTGCAAAAAGAAGAAGGAAAAAAAATATTAAAATTATCCTCTGTAAATAATGAAAATTTTGGCTAATCTATTCTTTGCAGGTTCAGCAACTGATTTCCCAGAGTTTTATTAAAATTTGAAATGAAATTGAAATAAATTCTATGAAATGTGTAAATTCCCTTGTGATCCTCTAATGATACTGACATTTCCATCAAAGATGCATTAGCACTTTTTACCATCCTATGGAAAAAGGTGTAATTCATTGGTCAAGGACACATAATAGCGTCTTTGAGAAAGGAAGCTGTGGGTGGTGAACGTAAGTACACAGGGAATAATTCCTAAGAGGCTATATTTGGTCATCGAGTAGTTTTGTTCGAAATAATTACCAATCACCCTTATAATAATTAACATATTGACAATCCCAATTAGTATATACTATACTATACTATACTAATTGGTACATGGCACATAATTCTACTGTGTCAGTCAACTTTTTCGAAAGAAACCAGCGAAATAATAACGCTATCAACCTGAATGCATAAACACATCAGCAATCGGTGTAATATTAACACCATTGAGGCGTCGTTCTCAGAACAACAAAGTATACCGTCGTTTTAGAGTGAGACCTCGAATTCCACGATGCTTCGGAGTAAGTAAACCGGTGAACGAACAGAAATGGAACGATGATTGAAGCGAGACGAACGTTGCGATCGTGAAACGTTGAATAAGGTATAGATACGTATGGGAACGAGAGAAGAAGAGGTCTCAGGCTTCGATGCTGAAGATGTCGTCCGGAGGCCGAGACGTACAGTTATCTGACCGACTCCTTTCTTCTCTTCGCGAGAATATCTACTCTTCCGTTTCTCGGCTCGTGCCACGTGCACGCACACGAAGAATAATCATCTGCAATGTACACGCACACCGCTCACCCTGAAGAGTTCGTGTAATATCGTGCATCGAATACGGTGAATTTATTCCTGAACCAAGGAAATCGATACAGGTGTTTATAAGAAATTGAAAGTAATACTTTTTACTGAAATTTCTTATTTTTTTAAGGGGTTGAAATTTGAATTTTTCGAATTAAAATAATTATTCAAATTAAAGATTGCGGTTGTTGCAGGAAAATCTAGTGTTTTGATTTCTTTTTCTCATAGAAATGCCTTTAAACGAATCTCGATACCTGATCGAGCAGATTCTTTCTGCGCTGTTTCATTCATTCGTCATGCTCGATTTGTCGAGTTCAACGATTTCGCAGAATTTCGTTCGTCTTGAATGGCCGTCTTCTTGACCCGACTTGCCCTACCTGTCTCACCTGTTCACTTCGTTACCCGTTAGCTTTTAGTACCATTGCAATCACTGTTACATCACCATTCAGACTCCTTTTGAAGATATAACTTACAATCACAATTATCTATAACAGAGTAATTAATGAATTCTTTGTTCACAACATTTTTTGTTTATATTTTTAGAATGTCATTAATAAGCCACGTGTACAGAGATCATATCGCGAAATATTCAAAATAAATTAATATTTATTAAACCATCGTCTCGATTTATGTATATGAATGCATAATCAAACGGGTTCCTTAAAAAATTTCGTCATTTGATTAGCAAATCTGCAACCGTCTATTGTTATCAGTTCGGATTTAATTTAAACGTCAGTTATAAAGCAGAGAGTCTATTTCCAGTTGCCCGGTATTCGTGTTACTTTCGATTGATATTTACATAATTATGTCTCAGTTATCTGTTTTTAGAACATTATGTAATTAGCAAATACGTAGATCCATAATTTTTAAATTAGGTATCATAAGTTCAAAGAGTTAATTATTAATAAAAATAAAAGATCTAAAAAGATCTTATTAGTAAGATAACCAACCAGGAGAAAATCGTGTCGAGATAGTTGCACTGGACATATCAGAAGTGGACGGTCAAAAGTTGACAGTGACCGAACCAGATGACATCCGGTTATACAACGGTGGCCAATTCTCGGTATTCCACCAATCGGGATCGACGTACTCTCATGGTTCGAGGTCATCCTCGTTCAGGTGCATTAGGTCAGCTGGTCGGCTTCGAGACGCCCTTCTTTCCCAGACGTTCTGGCCTGGGGCCAACGAGGGCCATTTTATGGTCCACGCCAACAGGGTCATACTATTCCTCAATAACCATTAACAATTTCCACGTTCAAATACAAAATGCTTAACAAACTTATCAAAATGCAAAATGACTATTCAGTCATACTTTGAGAACCATCAAATAACCATTTTTGCCCAAATAACGTAGGATCACTTCAGGAAAGTATAAATAAACCATATTGGCGTGACGAAAGAGAAAAACGTACGAGGCTGATCCTGATGGTAGACAAAAAATATTCCATGGAAATATACCGTTCGGTACGACTATGTACGTTTTATTTCACTGCTTCCACGTCACGCTCTAAGCTTCCAGGCTCGTACGAATTTCGAGCAGATCCTCGTCTAGCATCGAACGTGACCACGCATACGGTGCAACGTAACGTTTCGCCAAGCCGCCGACACGCTGACCCTGAAGAAAAACGTGTCGCAAGTTTCAACGATCACGTTGGACAACGTAACCCAGTTGGCGTTCGATCGAAAAGGGAAAATCTCACTTTCCGCCGTGGGCGAAGCCGTTTACCCTGGATCCATGACAATTCCAATGGACGTGGTTAAACATGCATCGACTACCATTAAGCGTAACTAATATCAGCTTTCCTAAATATTGGGTACAATCTGAAATTTCGAAGCTTTCGATATTTAAATATTATTATGATTTGATATTTGTTAGAAATCGTCTGGAAACTTTAACCCTACGCACCGTCGAGAGAATGCAAGGCTCTGATGCATCGGCTGATGTAAATAGAAGATGATTACTCTCACTTGCTCAATGAGTTTTTCGCAATCAATATTTGCGTTGGCATGTTTAGAGATACGAGGGTGGTGGAGTTCCTACGCAAGGGTTTTCTTGATGAACGTAATTTTTCATCGTTCCACGTTAGAGAGTTTTATGATATAATACCGTCCCGAGTATCGCGGAGATAATTCAAGCGTTAAGCTTCAAGTTTTTAGCGTTCGATGTTGGAAAGGTCAGTCTGGTTTTCTTATGTAACCAACCGCTTGGACATTTTGAAACGGGGTTTTCTAAGACGCACGGTTAGAAAGTGTTTCTGTTAGTCCATAGACTTCGTGTTAGAATAATTAAATAACATTTTGAAGATGGAAGATTCAAATCGTAATCCTTCAAAGCGGGGCTATAAAACATTCAATATTCAAAATATACTTTTACAAAATTCCATAATTCAAATTTTTAAGTTCATCTTTGAAATTTTGTTAAGTAAAATCTTGTAGGAAACGGAGAATCGACTCAACGATAAGGAATGCGTTTGTTTTGCATGTCCCAAGCACAGAGGGACATGAAATCCTGTGCATTCAGAGAATGGAGCAGGTTCGAGAGAGAAAGTGTTCAATCGTGGGAACCGGTAACAGTGTTATCAACGCATTGCGACGTTAACTTCTTTCGGAATCGTTTTGAGCACCATGCAACCGCTACTTTTCCTTCTTATATGCATGGCCACCATGAAACGTTAATTATCCGCTCGTAAATGCAGGTTTGTGAAAACGTACCGCCGTCTACGATTTGCAAGACACTTTTTCTTCCTCGTTACAACGAAGACAATGCTAAATTTCCTAGTAGGTATATGTAAATGAACGAGCAGCGAATGGTTTCGATTTCTAAATAGTACACAATAGAAAAAACAATTTTTTCTTCTTTTTTTATTAATTTAAAATTTTTAAGAAATATCTTGAACATTGGGAGTTCGTATGTCCGTCGAACCGAGCCAGACACGTTGTCCCTGATCGAAAAAGGCCGCGGAAAGAGAAGCAAAAGGCAATCGCGGATACGAGGACTGCATTTAACGGTATTGCTCGCTACTCCACTTCGCCAAGTGGCTTCGACCAGCCAACGAATCCTTCTTCCGACTCCATCGCCCGATAATGTATCGTTTTAATCTTCGTCCTTCTGGCGGGTAAGTACTGCTGTGTGCGACTTGGTGATATCACGGATCGTGATCGATTGCGGCTCGTCGTTTTGCTGAACCGTCGTGTTCGGATAGCTTTTTGCCACGAACTCTCATGGTCCATGAGATTAATTGTCCTTGATAAGACGGATCGAGGCTAAAGTTGGTCGCCTCAGAAATTTTTGCTGAAATCAAGGATTCTTAGAGAAATTTACTTTCTTTCAGCGAGGAAAATTCAGCTCTAATTTTTTCTAATAACTTTCTAAATATCATTGTTCTTATTTTCAATTTTTTTTTTTAGAGCGTTGGAGATGATCAAAGAATGTAATTCTACTTTTGAATAAAATAGTACGCCCTGTATATTTTGCACTGTTAAAAGTGCCATTCTCGTTTTTCAAGTGACATTTCGAATTGGAGTCGATTGGAATCAGATACGAGATTAGAGGGGAGAACGACCCTGACAAGACTCGTTGTCACGTTTCGACCTTAAGGTACAATTTCACGCGACATGTTACTGTGACGATGAGAAATGTCATGTTTTCGCGTGACATTGAAAATCATACGAATATTTTTGTTCTTCCAATGTTCTAAAAACGCGACTTTTAATTTTCACAAAATATCAAGACTTCTGCCGTGACATTTTCAAACTAGAAATATCAGCTGAACGATAATTAATTAACTCGATGTTTGATTACGTTTGAAATGGAGGAATAGAGAGTGAAAATGAACCTTCCTATATTTAGCTATATTTCTGCGTTCCACAATTCGTTCAGTGGAAACGAAGTTCACGCTACTTTCGTGAAAAAACGAGCAGAGTCTTCCGGCGTCGGTGCAAATTAGAGAAAGCCAATAACAGGAAGTGCTCGTTGTTCTGCGACTGTTATGCTAACAACCATAAACCGAATGGTACAAATTTAAGAACAACGATGACGTATGAATCAACAATAAGACTCGATAAATTTATTACCCATTTTGATAATTTTAAATT